CCTGTTGCCGTTCTGCTACTGAAATGATAGAGTGGGGGAAAGTAAGGGAGGGTAAGGGAGGAGAGCTCTCCCCCCTTTGCAGCTCGTAGGGTCAGCGATACCCTCCCTTCCTCCCTCATTTACTTGAGTACCTGTGGTCTAACTGTACGTGTTCGTCTGTTTAACCTTTTTTCCATTTTGGAACTTGTGTTGACACGTGTCGACGGCAGTCTCAGCCGTCGCGCATCGTCCCAAGTATAGTGGCGTGTGACAGAACCCATTCATCCATCACGCATTGGTTGATTGACACGCGCCTACAACAGCCTCAGTACACTGTTTTGTCGTCAGATACGTTGACCACGTAACCCATCCATCCATCACACATTGGTGGTCAGTTGTCCCGGGTGGGTGACTTCTTTTTTTTTTTTTTTTTGTTTGGAAGAGAACCAAGGCTCCTTCTCTTCTGAGGAGCAGCAGTCCGGAGTTCCTTCTCCACCGGCAAGTCAAAAAAGTACATGTTAAAAGAAAAAAAGAACAAAGAAAGTACATGTTTTTAAAAATCACGCAACGCTTCGGGACGCTCCTCCTGAAGTCGACTTGGGAGGTCCATGTCGACGACTTTGTTTCCCTCCCTTGGGAGGTGGGTGATCTCTCCCCCCTCCCCCCCTCCTGTTTTCCTTTCACGGACCAATTACTTCCGTTGGGAGGTGGGTGATTATTTTCGTCTGCCGAGTATATTGGGAAATAACCTTAACGGCCATTTACTTGTTCTTTCGTTCGTTTTATTCTTTTTATCTTTTTTTTTTAATTATTATTCTCTCGTGCTGTCATTCGTTGGCTCCTGGGGTGAAGAGTGGTTATTTGTTATACCTGGGGTGATGCCGATGCTGCAGCTACTTTCTACCCTTTTACATGGTTCTTTGCTACAAGCCTGTTTTCTTTTTCTTTTTTTTTGTTGGGGGGGGGGGGGGGTACATGTGTTATTTGTTGTACCTGGGGTGATGCCGGTGCTGCAGCTACGTTCTACCCTTTTTCCTGGTTCTCAACTACAAGCCATTTACCTTCAGAAGTGCCCATAATTTCTCTGGTACAGCCCAGTCAGTCCTTACAGCAGTGCCCGCCCAGTCCTTACAGCAGTGCCCCTGGTTCTCAACTACAAGCCATTTACCTTTAGGAGTGCCCATAATTTCTCTGGTACAGCCTAGTCAGTCCTTATAGCAGTGCGCGCCCAGTCCTTACAGCAGTGCCCGTAACTTCTCGTTTTGTCTTTTTTTAGTTGGATATGTAGCAAACCATGCACGTAACTTTATTCTTCTGTGACCCTAATGTAGCAAGCCATGCACATAACTTTATTCTTCTGTGACCCTTATGTAGCAAGCCATGCACGTAACTTTATTCTTCTGTGACCCTAATGTTTGAGGAGTGTGCATGCATCCTAATGTTTGAGGAGTGTGCATGCATCGGGTTATAATCGTGTTGTGATCGTAATGTGACCTTAAC